TTAAAGGGTGCAGGAGTTGTTATCATCTTTTATAAATGGGTTGAAGCTAAATTGATAAATAGAACTGTGTGCCCTTCATTGCTGAATATTGTTATTGCCACTTCTGTCAGCTAACTTAAATTCACCTCACTGGRCTTTCTGCCTCTCTCTTCCTTGCCAGCCAAAACTCTGTGAAGACAGCAAACTGTGGAGTGGTAGCTTAGAATGGGGCTGAGCAAGATTTTCCTCATAATGCCTAAAAGAAAATGCACAGATATTGAGAATGTTTGAAGGAATAACCTTAAAAAAAAATCAGTGCGTCCTTTTTTTTGCTGTTACTTGAAAAACTCAGTGGGTCTTTTCTGTCTGAGCTAGACATGAATATCAATGAAGAACACACAGCAGTGACTGCAAATTCAGATACATTCCCTTCTGAGCAATGTGAAGGAGTGATGTTTTTCTCCATTACACAAAAAAACAGCATCACTCCCAACTTGCTGTGATTGTTGAGAAAAATCAGTAGGTTTTGAAGTGAGTAAATTTTSTTGTCATTGTTGACATTTGAAAATGCCTGGARMGAGCTGTATGGGCAASTAGATACATTCAGCTGTCTAATCTCCTCAAGTTTTTACATTGCAAGGTGAATATTGGCATTATTTGTTTTTTGAGTCTAATCTGGCCAACTAACTAGAGCAGTTGTGTCCCCCACCGCTGGAGGGTGATACCCTCTCCAGAGGGCAGCTCTCACTGCCCACGTCAGGGCTCCTGCCATGAATCAATGTCTGAAGAAGCTTTTCTCCTCCTCTGACTGTGAAGGGAGTGAATCTGTGATCCCTTGGCAGGGGGGTCCGGAGTAGTGATGGTGGAATCAGGAGTTACAAATGAGAGGGTGATGTTGCACTAAATTGAATTGGGGCTAAGACAACACCGTGAGCATTGCAGAAATGTGGTTACTGTTGTTCAGGTGGCTGGATTTGGTCACCTTCCCTTTATCACCATTAGAAGGCTGTGAAAGAGGCTTAGCAATGCGCAACTGGAGGTTATGGTATCTGAAGAGAAAATAAATAACTAAAATGGATCGTTGATTCTGACCCATGCCTCTTTCAGGTGCCTCAGTGTGAAGGTTTRCAAGGCAATATATTCATTTTATTATTCCAGCCATTGCTCTAGCAGCAAAACTACTTTTCAGAGCAGCAAAACTGTTTTACAAGACAATGTAAGTTACACAAGTTTTGGTGTAAAACTTTTCTTCTCTCGCTTAGGCCCATTTCATTTAAATTTCTTTCCAATAGAATAGTGGAGTAATGATCTAATATTTCTTTACTTTTAGATGCTGCATGCAGGATTGCCTGAGCTAAGCAGCATCCAGGATCTGAAATATGTGTATGATAACCTCCGTCCTCAGGACTCAGATCTGCAGGCTACAAGCTACTTTACAAGGTAAAACCAGAATATAATCTAGAAACCTTGTCTTMAAGCATGAAGCAATTTTTCTCTATGTTAAAAATAGAGAATCAGGGAAATTACATGAAAGGATAATTTGTCTTCGCATGTTTATTTTTAAAAAGTCATCCCTTATGCATGTTGCAACCAATTTCCTCACATTTCTGGAGGAAACAGTTGTGCATTTATGGTACACTCGTAACAAGTCACTTACTCAGTGCCTGGAGATTTCTTAGGCTTTYATGGTGAAACCATCCTGATTTGTATCCAGCCAGGGTTTCTCTCTGCTTTTAAATGCAGCAGCTACAGGCAAATGGATTTGGATTGCAYAAAGAGGTTCAGCTTGTTAATGGTGTGAGTGAGAGCCTTCAATTTCTTCATTTTACTCCTTTTTCTGTTCTTCTGACCTTCTGTGTTGCCTCAGAGAAGTTACTTTCCCTCTGCCAGCCAYAGTCTCTCCATCTGCAAAACAGTTCCAATTCTTTCTTGTAAACATTTCAGAGCTCAATCACAGGAAAGCCTTGTGTGTGAATATATTCACATTTTAAGGTACATTTTAAGCTTGATTTGTGTTAGGCTAATGAAACATTCCACCTGTTTGTGATTATAACTGGGGCTTAATGACGAGGAGCTGTGGCTGATGTGCATAAAGTCAGTCCAAAGCCCTCAGTCCTGATCCTTCAAGTCTGRCCCCTGTATTACATGAAATTCCAGCTGCTGATGTGATGATGCTGTAGATGGACTAAGTGGAGACTCMTCTGGATTTGGGAACCCACTTTACAATTCTAGACACAGCATGAGACAAAACTTCCCTGTCAGAGCCTGCTGACATTCCCAACCATTTCCCAMTTTGTGCTCCCTGGGCACCCTCTACACATGTAGGGCAACCCAGACTCTTCGGACCTTGTGAAGGTTTTGGGAAGTTAAAATTGTGCTGTTTATACATCTCCTTTCCATGTACCAGAATCTACCACAATCTGAGGAAACCAAGGCAGCAAGTTTGGGGAAGGCCGGGTCAGAGACCTGGAGACTTAAAGAATGAGCTTTCTTTGAAAAAAAAGAGAAGAATTTGTTAAACAAAACTATTGTCCCATAACTTTACACCTGGCAGAGAACTGAGTTCCTTCTCCTGTAAAACTTGGGGGTTTTTTTCATATTCTTTCACTCTTGCCCCTTAGCAAGATTGTCATATTTTAAAATATAATTACCCCTTCACTTTTTACCATCAACTCCTACCTTATCCTTTCCTTTAGAACTGCACATATTCCCAAATTTCAGACTTATAGTTCCACTTCAAATAGGAACCATGCAGCTTCTAATTAAATTGTAAAAGTCTTGATTCTGTCAGATAGTTTGGGTGGATGCAGATGTGKATGTGTCTGTCTCTTGTGGTAAAAAAAAACCAGTTCATTCAGTTAATGGAAAAGGGCTGGGATATATGTAGCAATCAGGAAAATCTGATTCTTCAGAGCGAAAATTGTATTAGTGTTATGCAAAACTCAGAGCTGGTGCCCCTCTGGAGGCAGAAAGGATCAATTTTCTCTTGGGTCAGTTATGGTTAGGGTTGGCACCCCTGCAGGCTCATTTAAGTGGCAGACTCAGGATGAAGACTKGATTAAGGGCAGAGCTCTATCTCCACACTCTTTCTTCTGAGGGTTAGGGACTTGGGAGTGGGAATTCACCTGCAGTCTGCCTCAGCCAAAGCTTGTGGAATAAGCACAACACTGTTTTGGAGGAAGGGCTGGTGTGCTTTGTTKCCTGATAGAAGTTTATATTGGGCTTAGGAAATCCTATTCAGCTCAGAGAGAACCAGAGGTGAAACTCATCGAGGCCAGCATGACCTTCTTCCCCTTAGGTTTCTTGTTAGGGATGGTGTTAAGGAAATTAAGGTTGTCAGAGTGGAAATTCCACTCAATTCCTGCACACCAAGGAAGTATTTGTGCTGTGGGCTCTGTTCTTATTTGAAACTGCATTTTCTGCTAAAATGCGTTCTGTGAACTCCAGAGCTATTGTTCCAATTTCCTKCAAAATGCTGAAGGTTTGTTATTGTCCACAGTGATCATTACATCACACAGAAAAGACAGATATTGCTAGAGTGCATATTTTATTCATTAATATTCTTGGGATATGTTTGTACTATATATATTCATTTGCAAGAAGAAAATCCCTTTGCATTAGCTTGTGAATTTCCATGGATCTCATTYCTCTTGGAGCTTTTTTTCTTTATTCTAATTTCTATTCATTTGAACATTTTTTGTGTTTACTCAAAAAATGTATTAACATTTCAACATGTTTGAACATGGGCAGAATATCAGGTCTCATGTCTAGTATGATTTTAACTTCTGGAAATTGTATCAAGGCATGTTTCAAAATAAAGACTTTGGGATGGCTTGATAACCGGATCAATGCAGAAATTGTCCCTATGTAAAAACACTTTCAAGCCTGGCCTTAGGAAGGTTAATATACTGAGATTTTTGTGAGCTTTTTGTTACCTACATGATCTTTATTTCTTATCTYCTTGTTATACAAAATATTGATATGAGAAAAAATCCAGTTATATACTTTTTGTGGTCAATCTGTAGCTTGTTCCAGTATCTATTTTTCAAGTTRCCCTTGGAAAGACAAGGAAATTGGAAGTTCTGATTATCAGCATAACTTGTAGTAGTTCTCAAATCCCTCGCAATTTGTAGCTCCTTTCTCTCCATAATTGCTTCCAAAACCACTTCATTGCTTTTTAAAGGTTCTTTTCTGGACAAGGAGTGCGGTCACTGGAATGTTAAACGTTGCCAACAGAAAGCTGTTTCTTGTTCTARGTACAAGGTAGTTATTGTAATCTTTCAGATTCAATCATATAATGTATCTACTGAAAATCCCAATCTTCTGCTCATGGAAATAGAACAATATTTCTCTGTATTTCTGTAGAAATGGGTTGCTTTTAGCAATTTTGAGTTTGGTTTTAGCAACAACACTGACATTGGCCCTACTGTTGTTTAAAACCAACACGGAATGATGAATGATGTCACAAATCCTCCTGGCAGAACAACGTTAATTTGTTCTCTGCCATCACCTCTTTGGCCGCAGAGCAATTGTGTCGGAGTTTGGGCTGTAAYGTACTGACCCCTTTCAAGCTCGTAAAACATTCTGTGTTTTACTTAATTCCTTTGGTCTCATTCTTGATTTAAGCCATGTGCAGCAGTCTGTGGTCTCATTTGTGTGCAGTTCTCCCTCAGTGTCAGTTCCCTGTAAGGAGCCGATGAGCAGCAGTGTTCGCAGCTTWCAGCCTTCTGGAAGGTCACACCCTCCCATCGTGGACAAACAATGCACCAATTGAGAGTCAAACAAGAGTTTCTGTGTCTCCTTGTCAGTCCTGTGCACCTAGTGCCAAATGAAACATCGTTGTCTCTCCAGCATCTGCCCTGAACTCAGTTTGATCCTTGAAACTCAATTTGATCCTTACCCCTCCCTCCTTTCCTCTTCCCCTGACAACACATTTTATCAGAAACTGCAAACCCATCTTACCTCTGGATATAAATTCCCTCTATGGTTTTCTGCAGATGTCTTCWAATGTCAGCATGGTGTGGCAGGCTGCCTGACATTTTTAATGTGCCTGCGCAAGGATGTATATTTAAAATCGTTTTTAAGAGCATAAAGTTAGCCTAATGCAGTGAATGGAGTTGATTTCAATTGATTGCAGTGTGCAATTTAACCCACTCAGAGAAACCCATGAATAAGAGATGCAGGGTGGCTCTGTCAATTACCAGGGGAGCACATWGCATATCTTCAGCAGCCTGACTGGGGGCGGTGCTGCTTGGGTCAGCTGCTGTCTTTGTTTATTTATTAATGCACTCATTTTTTAGGTACTTCTTGTTGCCTAGGTCAAGCACATCCACTCCAAACCACAAATGCCAGCAGTTTTCAAGCTGGACAATCCACAGTGACTCTTCTCCAAACATGATACTGCTCTCTAACTGATCAACCAATCCCTGTTTCTCAGGTTGGCTGTGGRTATTTCAGCAAAAACTTCCCAAACAGGTGAAAATAGTGAAAGTTGGTGGCATCTGAAAGGGCATGGACAAAACTACAGCACTAAACTTTACTTCAGTGATGTTGAAGCAATTTGTAAAGATTGTGACATATGTGCCCCAAAGGAGCAGAAGGCAGGCTTCCTTCTTGAATTTATGGGTGTGGAGGAATTAATGTTATAAAAGCTCTGTTGCTAAAAGCAGTAATATTCTGGAAAACTCTATTAAGAGAGTATGGGGGCATACTACTCAACTTGTTTTAAAATGGAGCTTGGTACATTTGTGGATGGAAATGTGGAATAGTAATGAAACAATCTTCATTAACATCTGAGAATCCCATTAAAATAAATTCATTATGCTCTAAATGATTTTTGGGCCTAGATGGAAATGAGAAGCAGGATACCATCATGGATGATAAAGAAATATCCACCAAGACAGAGCTCTTGATAACTAGTCAGTAATAATGAATGCATGTGCTGTGTATAAAGGCTGGTGTGTCCAGAAAAATCTAAGCACCGGCCCTCAGAATACCTGTCCCATAAGAAATGTCTGCTTCCTAAAACACAAGTCACCAAGTGCCACCAGTCACTCTTGGAARCGTTAGCCAATCATCCATCTCCTTTTACACAAGCAGCCAGCCAGTCTGTTCATGTTTTACCTGATACTGTAATTTGACAGCTCTGTAGAAAGACTGAAGCCAAATCTGAAATTCAAAGTCAATTCAGCAGGCGGAAAGCAGAAAGTCATTGCTTTCCAACATTCCCAGATATTTAACTTTTTTTTCTGAAAAGTAGGTCAGACAGCAATCTGCATGGGAAACAGTTATTGCCATGTGGAAAAGTAGCATTTTTGTCTCTGAAAACTGTGCTGGCAATATTCGGATTCACTGCTAATGTTACTCTATTAATGACAGTTTCCTGTTTTCTTCTGATTAACCTCTGCTTTTGAAGCCCTTTTGTATTGCTCACTTAGTTTTGCTGTCTGTAGACCATCAGGCACTAATTTTCTATGCAGCTTGGACTACCAGAGCTCTGAAATAAATAAGAAACTTTTTTCATTGTCATGGAGGGGGAGTCAGTTTTGGGCACAGGCAAAGGTGGTAATGGGCTCCTCATGGGAGCATGAGGAGTTTTACAAAGAATACCCATGACCTTACTTCTTTTGGCTGTTGCTAAGCTTGATGTGGCTAAAGAGAAAAGAGTTCTCTTTATAGGGATCTGGGAGAGTTCAAGGAGAAGCTTCCACCACTGGTCCTCAGGATGAACTTTAAAAATGCTAGCAGAAAGGGGAATCGGGTACCACAGTGTGATAAACTGGGTCACTGAACTAATCCAGGCCAAAAATAAACTGCAAAATCTCAAAAAGACACAGGGGTTTGATGARCCCCATTACTCCATAAATAGTTAGGAACCAGCTTTTGGGGGAGAGGGTTTGCTTAAGCCAATTTTCCCTYGAAGAAAGTGCAGAGAACCACAGGCACTCTGGGAAGACACTCTGAGATKTCATCAGAATAGCAAAGACGGCTTGATTCTTTGTTGATTACATGAAATAAGGCTTGCTTAATGTTTTCTATCCTAACAAAGAGGACTGCATGCAGACAAAACAGAGTATCTGTTCTTATTTGATTTTAAATATAATCATTTCAAATAACTCACAGGGAAAATCTGCCACAATGACAGCACAAGGCTCTGTTTAGATTTAAAGTATGTGATTATCAATCTGGGTTTTAAAAGTATTTTAGCAGCCTCCTAATGGGCCCATGGAAGGAATAGTGGTAGTCTGATGTCAGGCAGTTAGTTCTGTGTAGTGATGATGTCTGAATTAGTACTAATTTACAAGCTGAGGCCTGTTTTATGTAAATTAAAATGCAGTGTGCTTAGCTGCAAAGTTAACGTGCCTCTTTATAGTAATGTGCAAATTCCCTAACTGCTCTGCTATAATATGGCCAGTTACAGATTCTATAAGCTAATGTCCCAGTGATTTAGGAAGTGTTTAAACTACACATTAAATTAAATAAATAGGAGTAAAAAGAGAGTAGTTCACCTCTGATGCAGCCTGGTTAATCATCACTGAATTGATTTTGTACTAATATTTTGAAATGAGATTTGTTTTCTTGTTTTACATCAGTGTGTTAGTTTGTTTAATTTATTAAATAGTTTKTATGGATCTGTTTCTGAGAATGTAATTAATWATTAAGRTAATTAACCAAATCAATTCTGAGGTACCTTTCCTTGTATTACATTAAGAGGAATATATACTCTTCTTTCCTCAGTTTACTATGCCTAATTAGTGCATGATAAATTCACACACTATTTTGAATAAAATCTGAATTTCAGGGGCTGAGGTCTGTAGGTAGAATATTTCTTGTTCTTTCTGGTATGGTTTCATCTGTGAAGCCACAGACTTTAGCCAGAGCATCTGAGATATGGAAATTAGGCTAATGTGGTGAATGGAGTTGATTTCAAATGATTGCACTACGCATTCCAAACCACTCASAGAAAGCCATGAATAAGAATTTAATTTGAAATGACAGGTGAAGCATTTGCTCAGCTTTGGACAAGGCATGATGAAGGTGGTTAAGGGTGCTGTCAGCCCTTGTAATCTAGTTAGATGCAACACAAAACTGGGAGAAAAAAAAAAAAAACAAAACCCTGACAGCAAACCCCTGACAATTTGGTAGAGGTTTGCTGCCATACAGCTTGAAACTAATGGGTTGTTGTTCCATAGCATCAGAACAGATCTAGKCTGTCTTCAGGGGGCTGTAGAAACAAGCAGAGAAATAAAAAATTTGCCGTCAGAAGTTAATAGATCTTAACAATTCAATTAGCAATTGAATTCAGGGGAGCAAGTGTTTTCTAATGAGTACTGCATCTCACTCTTCAAAGACCTGYGATTATCTTGCAGTGTTATTTCTCAAGTCAAGTTCACTTTCCCGTTTGCAGTACATATCTACATGTTTATCTAGGGCTTTTTTATCTATTGTGTCTTTTTTGATGAAAGATCTTAAAACTCTAGGAAATGAAAAGTGTTCTGGTTCCCCTTGCATAGGGTTGAGATGGAGGGAGATACCAGAAGAAAATTTCTCTCTCTTTTTTTTTTTTTTTTAAGTTCATGTTAAGCAGTTGCACAGGGATAGAGCTTTTAAGAACTGGGTGGAGGATTTAGCGACACATCATGCACAGCTAAATCACAAATTGAATCCAAGAGCTTTGTGCAAACATGTGTAAGTCCACGTGAGTTAGTGTAACCAAAAATAAATATAATCTTAACTAGCGCCTTCTCTCCTGCTCAGCAAAGTGAACATGTGCTCTTCAGCCCTGGAACTCCTCAAAACGCTCATGGAGCTGTTCTGCTTGCCCCTGTTGCCTGAAAGAAGGCTCATGGTATCCAGCTCATGAGGAATAGCTGCTCCAAGCTGAGCCATGAGCACATTGTGGCAAGAGCACTCCTTTGAGCCGTAGAGCCCGGGGGCTGGATGTGCTCAGTGCTGCCAATAGCAGTGATTCAGGGTATGTGGGTATGTCAGGTAAGCTTTAGAATTTGGGATTTTTTGGTTCTGTGTCCATGAAAAGAGGGGTCGAGGAGTGGAAACAAAAAAGGTGCATAAATAACACCTCTTCTGTTTGTTCGTTCTTCAGGAAGATAAAGGAGAGTTTGGAGTGCTTTCCTGTTAAACTCAATAACTTGATCCATGCACTTGTACAGATGTCAGTGGGGAGCTCTGCAAAGCCTCCAGCTCCAGAGACTGTGCCCCAGGAATGGATGATGCTGGACACAGAGAGGTCAATCGCAAGGGCCACCATTTTGGGATTCAGCAAAAAGCCTGACTCCGTATGTACTGCGTTSTTTGCTTGCCCTCATTTGCCTGGATCTTTAATGACTCTTTCAAGAACTTACACACTCTCCCTCTTGTTTTATAGWAGATGTGTTTGTGCCACATTAAAAGCACCATGGGATGAATAGTGGTGCCATAAGCAGCGAGCTACTAGAGAGCAAAAACACCAGGCAGACAGATATTTGCAGGAAGCCATTAAGGAGAACGGTTCATTCCCTATAGTGAAAAATAAATCAAGAGCTAATTAAAGCATCCAGAAGGAAAGCATGGCACAAAATTAGGAAGCCTAATAGAAATTGGAAGCTGTTATATGATGCTTTAATGGTGCACTATTAGTTTTCACACACTGCAGTGCTCTTTCAGTGTTTGAGTTGTATGCTGCCCGGCAAGTTTCTCCTTCTGTGCAGCAAAGACTATGAATTACAAACTGAATTCTCTGGCACTTGGCACTATATTAAAGGAAGGGTTTTTTTTTTTGTTAAAATCACCCTATATATTCTCTTGTATTTTTTTTTTAATTTGCCTCTCTGATCATTTCTCTTCTCTGCCTCTCCCTTTTCCCCAACACAGCTATATCTCATCCAGGTGGTGCAAACCTGCAATGTGGTCACCTTCGTGGAAAAATCATTCAACCAGTTCTCAAAACTTCACAGCCATCTCCAGAAGCAATTTCCATCTCATGCCCTCCCAGAGTAAGGCAGCACATTAGTGAATGTTATTCTGCTGTTAAGTGGTTCTCTCTTCTGTGCTCAGATAAATCTGTGAGAATATTCACGGCAGATGTATTTTTAGAAACACAAAGGCAGAGCAAACATACTCTATCAAGCCTTCTATTCAGCCCCAGAAGAAACTGAATCACATACCATTGTGACAGTCTAAGTTTTATGTATTTTATTATTCCATTTTTAATGGGATGAACAGCTTGGGCCTGACAAAAATATTCCTGAAATTAAAGGGTAAGTGGTGTTGRTTTCAAAAGGTACCTTTAATAGTTTTTATTTTCTGCATGATGTTTGTCAAAASTCATGGTAAGATCCATATGTTAAAGCAATGCAGGAGTGTTCACAGTGGGTCAGAAAAGAAACCTCTGACTCTGGGAGGCAAGATACACATACTCCCCAGCTGAGAAATATACAATAATCTTATRTACTGTCCTGCCCCAAACCCTAGCACTGTGTCTCATATCATTCAGCTTAAAATATTTYGAAAAATATACTGTCATTAGTTGCAATAATTTTTAATATTACTTTTTATCCATGTGCATGCCCGTTCCTGCTTTTCATTTTCTGAATGTTATTTCTTTACAGTTTCCCAGGGCAGTGAGTGTCATGGTTTATTTCTGTCTTACATAAAAAACAGTTTTGCCTTATGTAATGATTGTCYGTGGCTTTAGAAATACAAGTGGAGTTATTTTATATATTTATATAATATATATACATTATACTGCATACACTACTGAGTACAGAGTAGTCCTCTCTTAGGCAGTCCTTTTGACTCACTCCCAAGCCCTTCTTCAAGCTCAATCTACAAAAAAAAAATAATAAAGCTGGCCTAAAATTCAAGCTTCTTACTTGAACCAAGCTGAGATTCAAGGGATATGCTTGAAAAAGAGAAAGGTCTTTGGGGTTTGACCTGAAGTAAATAGCCACAAACAACATGGTTTGGACTTAAAGTCCATGTATTTCAGATCCAAAGTTGTTATTCCCCTGAGCTCGTGAGAAGCATTCTGAAAAACAGCTTAAGGTTAGTTAATTCTAGAGAATCTGTCTCCTACCTGAAGGGATTTTATTGACTCCAATTTGATTCATTATGGYTTTCTCACATGAACTGGTTTGCAGCAGCTGGTGAGAATTGAAATTTCACTAAACAAATACTGAAAGTGCTTGAATCATGGTTTTGATTTGGAGATACTTGCAGGCTAACCATTAGGCTGTAAAATGAAATATTTAACAAGTACCTGTTTATGAATTTTTCCTGTGGTGAGCAGAGCCCTTTGAAAGAAAATACATTTCTCTTCAGAAATACATAAACCTCAGAAACCTGTAGTGAATTTCAAAAATAGTACTAGTCATTTTTCACATAAATCTACCTCTAATAAAATCCTTCACAACATTTTCACTGCTAAAAAACACTTCAGGACACACAGAGGGTTAATCTGCATGTACTGAGGCTGTCTAGGAGCTCCAGTGCTTTATTGCTGTAATTCAGTCCCAGMAGTAACCCGTCACTGCAGGATCTTTCCCTAAGATTGTGTTAGAACAATTCATTTTATGATGATTCTCGATAAGTGTGTTTTTCATGTTGAAGTTTTGGGTTGCTTTCTAGCAGAACTTCATTAATTGGAAGTTTTTCATGTATCCCAGATTTTATTCTAATCATAAAAACCAAATTTATTTCCTTATAGGAAGTTATTACTGAAACTGCCATTCCATATCAGACCATTAGTCTGCCTGTGTGTTACAAAGCTCCAGCTMTGGCTGATACCAGATGCTTCAAAGGAAGGAAGAAGCCTTGTTCCACAATGTAATCACAAAATCAGTTTAAAAACGTCTGATTTAAAAAGTTAAATGTTTAATATTACTAGAATAATTGGAACTGCTAGCAGAAACTACTTGGTTTCTGCTTTGTATTGATTCTATGAAATTGTAAATATTCATGTCTCATTAGGAGAATACAATGAAATATGAGAGTGCTTATACAAGTACTAAATACTGATTATTGTAGGAAATGAATGGCAAAAGCTCAGACTTCTCAGCATCTGAAATTTTGCTGTTGACACATGTTCATTCAGCCCATATTTCAACATTAAAAACACAGCTGCCCTATGCAAGCCCTTTCCCTCTAGCAGCCATCCTCCTCATTTGGCTTTTGAGAGGGTATTAATTGTGTTTAATTATTGTCTGGTAAAACACCAAAAATCTTTTCACCCAACAAAAAATTTAAGTGACATAATTTATACACAGAGCTATGTTCAGACAAGTAGGAAATGGAATGTGCTGGGTACAGAGCAAGTTTATGTTTTTCTGATTCACTTAAGGTAGGGGCAAAGACGAGTATGAGATTGGGAAGTTCACTTTTTCCAACACAAATGAATTCTCAAGGGCAGGGCCACTCTCAGCCACAGACACTATTCAGCAAAAGCACAAAGACCTTTAAAAGATGGGTTCAGTGCCACCACAAGGTTCATACTGTCCTTCACTCCAGCAGTTTTTGGTGCAATCAATCAGTATTGTCTCTGTCCTCCCTTTGGCCACTGTGCTTTGGATGCATCTTCTTAGGGCCTGCATTTTCCAGCCAGAGCCCTCTCTTTGTGTTACACAGACTAATTAATTTTAAGCTGCTTTCAAACAGTTCTTCTCTCCCATCCTTTGAAAGAAGTCCCTTTTAGCCCCAGAAGAACCCAGAACATTCACAGGCTATCTCTGTGTGCCAGATGACCTGGGCTCTATTTTTATCTGTGCTGCTCATATATGTCATGATCCCGGGTCGTGCCACTTTTCCCTCCTCATTATGTGTCCTGCCACTGTAATTTTTGTGATGGAAGAGTCCCCTCTTCCCATCCATCTGTGCAGCCCCTGATCCTCCAGTGCCAGGGGCAGGAATCATCAGAAGTTCATGCATACATGCAGYACGCTGATGTCATCCTGGTCCCTCGCTGGTTTAATTATGAACTAAGTTACACCAACACCGAGTTTTTCCCTGCAGGATTTTCCAGCTGCCTTTCTAGAGGCTGGCTGAGTGTCCCTTCCCACTTTGTCACAAACTAGACAGCTCCTTAGCCTTTTGTCTGAACCCTTCAGATACCTCTTGAGATCGGTGAAAAAGCTCATGGCACAACAAAAAAAGGTTTGTAAACAAGACGCACTTGACTGTTTACCGTGCTGGTGGTGGGACATGAAATACAACCAGATCAAAACTTCTGGCTCTGTCTGCCTCATACATTAGAGGACATAAAACATAAAGTTAATTATGAATCCTGCTATTAGCAATCCATATCACAAAACCCATTACGTGCAATTTAGCACAGATAGCTTTTCTAATGCTCCTTCAGCCTGAGAGATAAATACCCTTTGTCAGGGCAAGGTTAATATAAATTGATTATGTGTGTTGTTAAAACTCTAACCTTTTGACTGATCTAATATGCATTGTCTCTAAAATGCAAAGATGATTCAAGTAAAGGAATGGGAGGTTTTGACATTTTCAACCACCAAAGAACTTGAAAATTGACATAGGCCATTCTATGCATATGTGATTTATTTACTAACCTAAAATTAAATTCATCTTAATAAAAATTCAGCAAGAACATTACTTTTGCTATTTTTATTGTTCTTGCTTTTGTTGGGATCGATATTGTTGCGATGATGATGGTTTGTTTTCATATATTATTTTTGTTATGCTAGTACCTGAAGTTAGATATGGGATCAGAGACCTCCTCTGAAAGCCTTATCTACACTCTAAATAGCTGAGGTAAAAATTCAAGCAATGACATTCATCAAATGTCACATTGTTGCTGTAAGGCTTTGGTGCTCAATGTTCTGTGGTAAGGATGTGACAGCTCTGGGCTGAGATCAGAGATCTGTTGTGCAAAAAATTGAGAGGGTAATGTTTTCTTGGGGTCTTAAAGGGCCAWTTATTTTGATATATTTAGAGACTATAAGATGCAAAGTGTCTTTTAGGGTTTGCTTATTTATTTACTTACTTTTAAATTAATTATTTGGACAGAAAAAGTGCTTCAATATGAGACAATTTSCCAACAAATTATTAGAAGATACTGAGTCAGGGAGTAAACAATCCTCTGGACCCTGTACCCATCCCTACCCCTCCCTGCAAAACCTCTTAGGAAGTCTTGGCTTTCTTCTGTTAAGTAGAGTTGGAAATATTTTCAGCAAATACAGCACAAGAGTTCCACTTACAAATATTCTTATTTTGCAGGTTTCCCCACTCACAGCATTTACCTTTTACGGATCTCGAACATAAAAGAGTGAAGGATTTGAATCTCTATCTGAAGCAGCTAYTAAGTGGCTCCAGGAAACTGGCTAATGTGAGCATTTCCAGTGCTTCTTTTATTTGCACATCATTTCTAGTAGCATTTTACCAAAAGATTCAGAAAGTTTTTCCATTGCCTCTTTTCGGGGAAAAAAAAAAAAAMCGACATAAGTGACACATTTKCTAATGATGCTGTTTTGGGATGAATCCATTGCAGCATTCATCAAAACTTAAGACAAAGACAAGTATGAGTGAGAAATGGTTTATTAGGCCTGGCAGGGCATTTTTCAGGAAAACTTTTCTTCCTTTGCTGCCATCAAAAAGTAGTGATTCACTGAATTTTTGACAGTGAGGAGTAGGTTCTGAGGAATGTAATGTCTAAAAAAAAAAGTAAGCTTTGAAATATTGAAAAGTCTGATTTTGACAGTTGTTAAATGAAAAGCTCCATTCTTTCAGCCCAGAAATACATTTTCAAAATGTATTTAACAGGTAGAAGAAATAGTTTTGCAAACATAAGACCTAACCCAGAATGTTTCAATAATATCAGAATGATACATTGTGTCCATTAAAATTGCTGTTTCCTCACTTTTTATTCATTAATGCTTTCTGAGGTTTGAGGTTCTCCTGCTGTTTAAAAATGGAAAGCCAAAATGGTAGCAAACATTGACTTTTCATTGTCTGGGCCAGAACAAAGCCTTGTGCACCTCAGCAGCATAAAAGCCAGGGCTGAGAGCAGCAGAGGGGCCACGGGCACCCTGGGAGGATGTTAAATCATGCTGCTGCATCACTGCAGAGGCAGAATGGTCAATTACTGACTGTGACACAGGGTCTGGGGGCATGGAGCATCCTCCACTGAGCAGCCTTTGTCAGGAAAGCTGTCAGGCAAGGGAGAAATGGTGTTTTACATTGGGGCCAGGCTCACACTGAGGCTTGGTAAATTCGAGTGAGCCAAGGCACGAGCTCGTGGCTGACCCTGCTGTTTGACTGTTGGCACGTTCTGCACAGAGCTGGGCCTCTGCCAGGTGAGCCATGTCACATCCTGTGGCCTCAGGGCCACAGCAAYAAACTGGGGCTGCTCTGCTTTAGCAGAATAGAGAGCCAAAAGAGGGTATGAGAGGATGTTTTTTCCCCAAAATCTCAAACATCTTTGTTTGATAAAAGAAAGTTTGCTGCCTAGCTGTATAACTTTCCCAGCTGGGACTTTGTAATGGAGATTAAAGAGGAAATTGTCCATATGCAAAACAAACAGTAGCTTTCTTATTAATATGAATATAAATTCTGAGTACTGAATTGAAATATTTCCAAAGAGGATAAAAATCCTTTTGTCTCACAGAGTTGCACGTAATTTGGTAGGAACAGCTGACTTGATGCTTGTCTCCCTTGACCGACCTTGCAAATAATCTGCTCAGGTTTGGGTTGATTGTTGTGCAAATAAAACACAAGAAGTTCCACCTCCACGAGTAAGAACTTTTTTACACCAAGGGTGGCAAAGCAGTGGWACAGCTGCCCAGGGAGGGCATGAAATCTCCCTCTCTGGAGACATTTCAAGCTCACCTGGACACATTCTTGTGTGACCTGATTGAGAGGACCCTGCCATGGCTGGGTTGGACTAAATGATCTCCAGAGGTCCCTTCCAACCCTAAGGATTTTGTAATTCCCTTCTGACACTCACATTAGGGCCTTGGGTTTATTTTACATTCGTGCCTTTTGGTCACAGCTGAGTAAAAGCTGATCCAAGCCCTGACCTAGAAATGAARCGCTCAGTATCTTGTGCTGCACTCTGGACTGCTGGAAGGTACACGGCTTTTCAATTTGGGCCAAGCACTGCTGTGCAGAAGCCTAATCTCCAGCTGAGAAATGAGACTGCTGAAAGCACTGGGATAGTCCCACAGACAGTTCTTGGTGGTGCACAGAGGCTCTGTCCTCCCTCCTGCACCATGGGTTGGTGCTCAGGCAGAGCAGCTGCCCGGCAATGGCCTTCCCAGTGCCCTTCCTCCTCCCTTCATGGACCTGCAGCACACACCCCTGAGCTGGGGACATCCTCCCAGCACACCAGAGCACAGCCATGACCGGGATATTTGTGGGTAACCGTGGACAGATCATGGTGATGCCTTAGGATTTTTAGTTTCTATATTTTCATGCATCTATATTCTTGTACTTCTCTAGTACAGCACTAAAAACTACCGTTCCCTCATCTTTAGATAAAACAATTCCTCTCAGCCTGAATCCAAGGATATCTCGCTGCCTCAGAGCCCCAAAATATGTAAACAACAGCAAGTTGGGGAGGGAGCAAGTTTGGGGTGGTTGACACCATCACCTGTAAAGATCATTGGAGAATKAAGACCCAATATGTTAATAAGGCAGAACTTACAAAAGGTGAAGATCTCATGACTTGGTGTCCATTTTGGGTGTAGCCTCAGGAGGAGGCTTTTGTCTGCCCTAATGTACCGGAGGGGGCGTGTTAGGCCTGTATTAAAGTTGTCTATTCTCATTCTCTCAAGTTTATCTGGCCTCTATTTCAGATTAGCCTGATTGATAAGGCATCAGTGGGGCCAGGCACTCTTGTGGCTCTGAATGAGCCCAAGGGGGGCAATTTTCCAGGCTGCTACTGCCTGGAGAGCTGCACCATGAGGAGAAAAAAAGCAATTTTTGGTGTGTTGGACTTGAAGGGTAGGGGGTAACAAACAGAGTAATGAGCWGATTGTTCCCATCTGGGAAGCGCTGCTGCATGTGGGAAATCGTCTTGCTTAGCACCATGCAGCTAACCTGCAATTTTGGATGATAACCTTTAACGTTATTGATAATCCATAAACATTGAATCATTATTTTTACTTCAATATGCTTCTCCCGCTGGGAGGTGGGAGAAATTYAGAAAACACTGACGTGTTCTGACCCACTTAGAACAAGGAGACCAGTTGGTGGGTAATTTCCTTTGTATTCCTTTCTTTTTTCACTTTTCACTTTGGTATGACTCTTTTAAAAATATCATGGTATCATCTTGGCTTTAGTCTGAGTAGAAAGCCAAGCTAGGAGGCTTTCTTGATAAATACAATTATTTTGTCACTTTTCCTGCCTGTGACAACTTTGCAGTGAAATTTGTCCTTTTTCTCAAATTGTTAGGGAGCCTGGCTGAAACCATTTAGTGAGTTGTCAKTCCTCAAGCATTATCAAACTGTCACTCCTATGAAATAGTAAAACTATGTAGTAATAAATAATTAATCCATAAATTTGTGAAGAAATCTAGGAAGAACAGATGCCTGTAGAACAGGATTCCTTTTACTTTCTGCCACAGTCATTTCTTTATGCAGAATTGTAGCTGTAATATATTATAGCTGTAGAGTAGGCTGGAGTATTGTCTGAGATAGAGAGAAGAGCTTTTATTCCATTATAAAATACCCTTGTAGCACTTGTAATCACCATAAACACATTACCCTGATTGACTAGGCACCATTTTCTGCTCTGAAGAATTCAGTGCAGCCCACACAGGACTGACTACATGCTTGGTTCTACCAATCCAGTAATTATAAAACCTAGAAATTAAGAAAGAATCAGATTATATCCGAATTCCTTCCTCAGTCGTGCTTAAGTGAAAGCTTTTTAGTCCAGACTAAGTTCTGATTATGAAATTTGTATTATAATTTAGAGTAGGTCAGAATGTCACTGACCCTTTCTGCTAAATGGTTGGAATGAAGGAGGAAAAGCAGAAAACAGCTGCTTTCTTATTTGCACTAGAGTTCAAATGGAATTAAATGTTTCTTCAGACCCTTCTTTAATGAACAGAAACTTTTCTTTCTCTATCTCTGAATTTTAGTGCCAGATCCAATAAATGCAGAAACATGAATTGATGGAGATATTTGTTCTTGGACCTGTTTAAATGCTTAAGAGTGCTCATTCCCATCCCTATTCAAGGCATTTTGAAGTCTGTGGTTTTAAGCATAAGCCTCACTCAGTTACTTTCATTGAAGAATTGCYTAGAATAGGAGTAATTTCTTAAATTCAGTTTAGTGCTGTTATAAATAACTCCACCAGCAGACTGTGTGCATGAACAACAAGCTGTATTTATTGCATCAATCACTAACATGCAGAAGTTGATGCACCTTCATTGTCATGCTGAGTCAATTAGGACAGGATTGAAAATAGGTTTCAGCATCCTTTTTGTTTTTAATTTCATTCTACTTGTCCCAAAACATGGATAAAATTTCTGATCACAGCARAAGATTATTTAGGTTTGGGCTGGTTGCACCACTGCTCTCTGACTCATCATCTGCATACACTGAAGTACCTGAGTTCTTCAGATCTGTAGGGGGGCATTCTCTACAATCTTTGGAATCTTTGAGTTTTGCTTCATTAAATGGCAAAACAACCAAGTGATGTCACCAATAAGGGGAGAAGCACCAGGAAACATTGAACTGAAGGTTGGTGGCGTGGAAGATGACAAAAATATAYATTCTCAAAGCATAAAGCAAGGAAAAATCTCAAACTGACCCTAAAGCTGTGTTTTATATCACAACTGTGATTTGGTGCCAGCTGGTAATGCTGTGTGAACAAACTTCCCAGCTCCCATCTCTTAATAAATGCTGCATTTAATTTGTGGGTATTGTTCTTGGTAGCCAGATGCTGGAGGTGCATACTGAACTTGTAAAACTACTGATGTTTGTCCCACATTGTTCACAGAGGTTGGTTTTGTGTGCRTGTTCAGTGGCCTTGGAAGCTTGAGGGGATTTATTTGTCATGGTGGAGGMATTTTACAAACATAATAGTAAGTGCAGGTGCACAGTAGGTTAATCAATTTAAAAAGAGGTCTTTTGGGGTTTGAGTCCATGAAATTTTTCTAAGTATCCAAATTAATGGAGTATTTAGAGGGCAAAGATAAACCTCGTGCAGGCAGGTAAACAGTGAGAGTGTCTCAGCTATGGATGGGTTCTATAAACAGCTTTATGGWGACTTATAGGCTTTGTAAAAGGACTTTAAAGAGGATGTAAATGGAAATGATTGTAAATTATGTTCACTCATTTTCAGCACACAGTAGTAACYGGGACCACAGCATTGTTCTAGGGTGACTAATGTTTCACAGTGTAAAAGTAATCAAGTTTGATAAGAGCTTCCCATATTTCATTTCTGTTTTATTCACTGGTGCTCCTTGGGATTTGCAGAGATGGGCAAAAAGCTCCCACATGCTGGTATGGGGGTACATATCGTGCTGGTACAAAGTGCTCCCGGGGTATGTGGGTCCCTTGAACTCCCACCACTCCTGTGTTCCTGTGGCAAGGCATCCAGCAGAGCCAAAATGGGGAGGGTTCAAAGTCCTCTCTCTTCCGCTGCCCTTCCCTGAAGTTATAACAGCTGCACCAAGGTCAGCTTTTTCTCGTTCCYTTCTTTCCTGCTGATTCTCCATCCTGTTAAAGTATAACAGGCACATGGGTGTTCTCTGACCCCAAATCTACTCTAGCCCAGCTGAAAAGAAAGCTGAAAGCAGAGGGGGGGCTGCTTCTCTTTCTATCRAAATTAAATCTGGCTTGAAATCTAGCTGTGTTTCACAAACTGCAGGGTGCTTTTCTAGTTAGTCTCTGATGGAGAGCAGTAGACAAATTCTCCCATGCTGTGGTGATGCAGGACTGTGCCAGCCCCCAGAGGCCACTGAAATACTTTATTTTAGCTGTATCCTAGTGCAACTGAAGGTGGAATTTGTCCCTTTTGAGTTCAATGGCTGAAAAAAGGTCTGTGAGTTCTAGCCAGATTGAGCATACATACCTGTCTGCCCCTGCTTAGCCTAACATGTTGAATGACTTGCAAAAAWAGCAGAATTACCTACTGAAGATTATTATCTTACTAGGTAAGAATGGTTACACAAATAATAGGAAGCCTTCCTAAGAATCCCCAGGTGTGCAGTGTTTTAGGGAATTTCCATTTGCTGATTTAAAGGTGAAAATTCTGGGGGAAAAGGGTGAGTGAGTGCTTGTGGTCATCCTCAGTGCCTTCCTTTCTGCCAAGACCATCACAGGGTCTCTGAGATTCCTACCCACAGTCACTTCCGTGTAACAAAARTTGCCAGGTTAGGATTGGACCCTTTCCACCTTAAAACAGCCATACACATGTTCCCAGCTCTGTCAGACTGTTTCTATTTAGCAGGGGTGCAGGCTTCATTCCATGCTCCAGTTGYATTAACAGGGGTCCAGCTGATGGAAGTCTCAAAGATTTAAGAATCACCTGAAAGTTCAGCWTTTGCTTTGGAGGTCTGCTGACAAAGGGGTGCTTAATAAGGTGCTTGCACATTTTCTGGTGGAAATCTAAGTGGTGGAGTCCTGCAGCAGGCAGATTAGCACAGGCCAGGGGGAAATTGCTCTCTGTTGAATAACAGTGTGCAAAGTGCTTATCTCCACAAACACTCAGGAGACACCYCCTCATTGTTTTTGAAGCACTTTGCCCTGGACAACCTGSTRCATCTGCTCCTGCCATATGATCTGTTCTGTTAGGGTTTTGCATTCCTTCTGCCAGCATCAGCCTTGCTGCTTCCCCACAGGCTCCAGTGCCTGTTTGGGTATGGTGGGCACACAGGAATTGAGTATTCCTGGCACCCAGGCCAGGAAGGYTTTGCCATCAGCAGGGTACAGGCCTGTCCTGTTCATGCCTGTTGTAAGTTCTGTGTGATTCCATTTCTGCATTTTACCCAAATGTCATTTTTTTTCAGTGTTCTCTCCTTTAGAATGAGATTTTTGGAATTGTTGCCTGAAACAATCTTTGCACCTCCRATTTACAAACCTCTTGGTTCCTGCATTTCCATTTATTGCAGGAAGAGTAGGTGGAGAGGAAGCAAAAAGAACACCATCATGCTCAGTGTGGAATTTTTTTATTTCTCTTTCGAGTCAGTTTGTGTATCTTTATTTCCTCCTCCTGCCTACTTCTCTCAAGATCTTTGAACTCATAGGGCTACTTAAGTTTCTCTGCTTATTTTCATGCTGTCAAATAAAGGCTGGGCTGCCTAAAATACACTCTCTGCCCTGGAGATTTCCTACACTTGGGACTTGTGCTGAAGAGCGAGTGAAGATCCCCTAGGGAATATCTCGGCTGTTTAAAGCTACTGGAAGCTGTGGCAGGTGTATGGGCTTTCCCCTGTGAGCTGCCTTCATCAGATGAGAGAATAATTACTCATGCTCAGTACAGACAGGTGTATTGGCAGTCCKCTGCTAATAACTTAAGGATCTCTCATTCAATTCAAGGTAAACAATTATGTTGGATTTTCTTTCTTTTTTTTTCCTCTTTTTTCCCCCCCTTATTTTTCTTTTGAAGAAAATATCAGTGTGGGAGGAAAAACTCCAAACAGTGGAGTTGAAAAATGAAARACAACTGTTAAAATAAATCCAGATTGCTAAATCTTATCTCTCCACTGAACATACACATCTGTTCCTCTGTCTGCTGTAACCACATGTTAACTCCTCACTAGCTGCTTTTKTCACTACCCTCTTCCTTCTCTTTTTTTTCCTTGCACAAATTATGCTACATCTTGTCAAATTGAAACAACACAAATACTACACGAACTACATCTTGCCGATAAGAGACACTTTATTTYCCACTGACTGGAAAGAAACAATAGTGACATTTTAATGCTGGAGTCTGAAAAGTCTCTTTTTCTACCCATTCATTACAGTGTCAGTCCAAGTAACATCAGCATGAATGTAACAATTCTAACCATCTTAAAGAATGGCCATTCTGAAATACGGCTTTATGAGAACCTAATAAAATGCAATTACTGTCCAGCTTTGATTCAGAGTCATAAGAGTTCATTTAAGAATTCACGTTTTTATTACCTTGCAAAATGGTGAAATCTGGGGATTTGGTTTATTGTTTTAATTCTCTCCAGCTGAATGTAACTACCTGTTATATATGTTCACTAGAGCAGCACAGGTCAGTACATAAAAATAAAAGTTACAGCAGTACAGAAGGTGGATTACTCTTTTAAACAGGATGGTGAAATACGATCGTGCCTTTCAGTCCCTGTGGGTTTCTGGTAGCATTTAACTGTGTATGGAGCTTTACAGTGTGAGTGTCCATTAAGCTGCCACAGGAGGGAGGTTTGCACAATATCTGAGCCTCGGGGAGCGCACACGAGGTCAGGTACTTGGGTCAGTCCCGTGCCAAGGGCAAGTTTCCTGCTGACTACACAGTGCACAGYAAAGACTGTCTCTGCTTTTGTTCCACACATGGGCTGCTCTGCCAAAGTACTTGCAGCTGCTAATACAAATCCTGAGCTGCTGGAGACCAAGCAAGAGCACAAATCTCTGGCCCCCACAGCTCACTGCTGTCTGGAAGTGTGTTGACAGAAAGGGGCCAGGTGGGCACCARTGCAGCATCCCTGAGAGTGCTAAAGGGCACTGTTGTCCTCCCAGTGTCAGAGCAGAAGTAATTTCCTGGGTTCYTTGCCCACAATCAGAGGGGAGAAGCTCCCTTTTATTGCTAACTCTAATATATGCATTTAAAAATTACCAGCAAGCTTCTTGGAGGGCAATGATACAAGGAATAGAGCACAATGTATGATATTACCTACAGTGTTTGTATTCTCTTTCAGAATGAGCTTGTACTCGGATTCTTCCTCAATTGGTCCAAAAATACCTTGGCAGAAGATTCATCATCTCTGACCTTAGGTAGGTGGATTACCAATCTTATTTCTTTTCTAATAAATAATAATCCTTGACAATATTATGCAAAGGTGAGAGTAAAGTGTTTAGATGGTTTATGGTTTTTTAGGGTATAAGGATACCAACAAATCCTGATTTCTCAAGGTCTCTGAAAATGTGTTACTAATGTCACCTGTAGATTTCGTTCTCTTTGTCATATTCCTTTCAGCCTTGCTTCGTTTCTTTTTGAATAAACATGCTTATGTGCAAAGCAAAAGTCAATTTACACAAACTGTGGCAGGTTTCWTGTTTAACAAAACAAAATATTCAAAGATTTTGGAGGAAAGGATRTGAGTCATGACAAAGCACAATGTGTGCTTGCACAAGCGAAGCAAATCAGGGGTGACTTCTAAAGTAATTTTCACAATGAGTGGAGCAGGTAAATAACAGAACATTATGTTAATGCTTAGGCATACATTATTAATGACTGTGGTAATTCACTTCTTGCTAAATGAGATGCTGCATTGCTCCCTTAGTCTATCTAAATACTTAACCCATTTTCCTCTTCTGTCCATCCCCTAAYTTAATCTAATTTCTGACATTACAGCATTAAGAGCCAAAGCATAAACCATAAAAAGTAAACTCTGAATGTTTATTGTGTTCTACTGCCTCAGTTCTCCACTGATAATAATCTTCTGTACTCAGTTTTTAGGCTAAATCAWACCTCATAAAGGAGTGTGCAGCTGCACTCTGCACCACAGCAATTCAGCTGGTTGTTGTGTGCTCCAAGTGATAGGACACTTTCCAAGATCATCAGTTTTCCACATTTCAGAAAGGATTGTATCTCTGCATATTTAGTTTGCATGTCCATTAAGTTAATTTAATCCCTCTGCAGACAGAGGTTTCATTATCTCTTTTGCTGGGACTTTTTTTTTTTTTTTTAATCAATCAGAACAAAATAAATCCCATTCTGGTTTCTCAGCCTTTGGAAGATTCCCCCTGTGTAGAGTTTATTTGATTAGGGTATGCCATTACCATATTAAACCCATTATGACTATTGAAAATTACTAATGGTTGCTCTAACTTTTACAAAGGGTCAAGGAGATAATGCAAAGATGTCCTAGGTGTTAGGAACATGTAGTCTGGGTCYGTGGCTGCATTTCTCTGTAGGTGTCTTTAAGCAAAGGTACAGATTGAGAGTGAGCTGAGGCCCAAGGCAGTTAAAATACCAGAATAATTTTTGTGTGTCACTAATATTCAGCTGCCTAATTATTACAGAGAAACTAGGTGYAAAAGTTTTATGCAAAATCATCAACTGAGTCTATAATAAAATTGAGAAATTACTTGCAACATCATAATTCCTACAGTCATRTCCTGAGCCACTATAGTGTGAAGGATGAGCCGTCTATTTTTGTTGTGACAGGAAAGTCAAGGAAGAGGATGGAGAAACAGAGACAAGAATGTGTTTAGTGGGTGTTTGATGAAAGCTGTGTGACAGGTAACCCAATCTGCYCCTCACAATGTAGTTAGTGGGGGTGAGGGTCACAACATGGTCAGGGAAGATTAATCTGTCCCTGGCCTTGAGCAGTGCAGTTACAGGGGGATTCATTCTTCCTCTCCAAGAACTTCGCCTTTTAAAGTTTGGACACTTCAATTCCAGACTTAGGGCCAAACCTTTGTTTAACACAGGGGAAAATAAAAAKGGAACCCAAACCACGATCCAAAGTGCCTCGCTTTAACCTAGAAAATTGATCACTGTCATTTGTTGATGGACTGGCAGAAGCACACAGTCCAAATGGTGAGTTTAGATCTGGTGAAAGCAGGGAACAGGAATCATGGGCTGAGCTGCTCTGGGTACTGCASCACTTGAACGGTGGAAGCAGATGAGCTCAGCTGTCAGAGGGATACCTGCCATGCATGTGCCAATTGCCCAACTGAAAAATATGTTGAAACATATATATTTCACAGATTTCTTTTGTTCTTCACTTTGTCTTTGAAGTTAGGTTSCTGCCATGTCCCAGTGAGCTCACTGAAATCTTGGTTTCCATGCTGTTCTGCACCCTTTTGTCATCCAGAGCAGACACAAGTCCAGCTAAGGCACAAGGTGTGTGGTCATGTCAAGATGTCAGGTAGCAAACAAGGAGTTGCTGGGAAGAACAGAGTGGTCCTAGAGGTTCTTGCTGGCTGAGGGTGCTCAGAAACACTCTTTATTTAAAGGTGAATTCTGCAGTGATGCCATAGTCAGTCTGGGAAAGAATTARGTCCAGTGAGCCTGCAGACAAGAGGTAACTGCTATGAAAAAAAAAGTATGTTTTCCTCCTGCAAATTTCATTGCTTTCTGAGGTTATTGGGGTCTTAATATTTGTCTGTTTTGAAAAATAACTCAAGTTTAATATGGGCTGTAGCTTTCCATGGATATGGTGACTTCTCTCTCAAGCGAAAAAGTCATCCATCTCTTGGTTAGGATCAATATAAAATAAGATTAATGCCCAATAGGATCAGGTTATGAATTTTGATCAAACCAGCATCTTTCTCTTACACTGCTTTAATTTATAAATGTTGTAGGTAATTACACTTACTAAAGTAAAATAAAAATTAAAATTTATGAATTTGTACTGTGCTCCCAGGAATAGAGAGATTAGAAATCAGTGTTGAATTTACTTGACATGAATACTGAATCAGTACTCCCAGTGGGGTRAATTCTGAATTACCCTGAATGTTGTCAGCATTTCATTATACCAGGCACACTACAAGGCACTGAGAGCAGATAACAGGAATGATTTCGCAATCAGCCTTTTAAAAAGGCCCTTTAAAAAAGGGAAGGAAGAAAGAATAATCTTAGAAAAAACATTTTTATATCAAMCTTGCTTGTTTTTCTTCTCTGGAGTTTATATCTCCTGAAAATATTAATGGTTCTGTCTGTTGTGGTTCTGCTATGGGCTGTAACAGTGTGCAGCCCAGCCCCAGTTCTGGCATGTTTAATTAGTGCTCCATGTGTTTATATGGGCTTCTGTCCTTGAGATGCAGCAGGGGAACAGGTTCTATGTCCTTCTGAGGGGAGATCCAAGCTTCCCAGCAAGATTTTAATACAGCATTCCTCTCCATGCAGAATCACGGTGCTCATGAATAGTCCCTGAGGAAAATAAACCTCTCYTGCTCATGTCCTGTAGAGTTTTGACCTTCTGAAGTTGCTCACTCTTGATGTAAAGCTTTTGCCACAAGTTGCCTTCCTGATTTAGTCACTTTTACCCAAAAGCACCTCTGGTTGGCTTGGAGGACTAAACCACTGAGACAGGCAGTGTATTTAGAGCTGACTGTATGAAGTCAGATACTTTGGAGCCTGTAACTAAAGCAGGCAGATGGTTGGCTTGGGGCATTCAAGCCCAGCCCTGGAAAACCAAGCAAGTTCCAGTACTCTTTGATGCCAGATGTCAAAACAGGCTGTCACCAAGAAGAAAGGTCTAAGAAAAATCTGAGGGCGCAGAATACAGAATAATACTCAGCTCTCTAATGGCACTGTGTTGACACTTAGTTAATTAGTTTCTTCACATTGCTTTGCAGTCCACGTGTGAAATGCAATGTATTATTAAATTACAGTTTCCCTATTGATTTTGTCAGCAGCGTCTTCCTCGCCGTTTTTATTTCTCCCGTGTTGTGCAGTGTAGTGCAGAGCTTGTTTTAAAATGGTGCTACTGAAAATGTGGCACAAATGGTAGAACATGGAGCTAGTGGCTCTCCAGCATGCCAGAAAGACMATCTAGATAAAGCAAAGAACTGCACACTTGGTTACTGTGAAGATAATATCACTTTCAGTAGAAATCTGAACTCTAATTGCCTTCATTTTGTCATTTGAAAAGACCAAAGGACCCAGAGTTTTCTCGTGCTTRTGTTCCTTGATAAGAGATTACAAACTGGCACAGTGTTTGGGTTTTTCTGACTTGCACTCAAAAAGCTGGGACACACAGCCACAAATCTGGTAGGAAAAAGCTACAAGGGCTACAGGGTCCTCGTTTGGTATTTGACAGCTTTTGCATCGACACCAGTGAGTGAGGAATCGATCCCTGGAGGGAAATCTTGCTTCAGCTGTGGYCAGAGCAACTTTGTCCTGTACCTGCAACAGAGCAGCACTTGGTCCTTGTCTAAAATGGGCTACAAGTAGAGCATGACACTTCCTAAAAATGCTCTTGTCCATCTGCCCAAGGTGGATTGGAAGTAATTATTGTATGTGTTTTCTATTATCATTTGAAGCTAAAATTACCTGGACTTCAAAGAAGYTATGATTTATCACTGCATGTGGGAAAACTTAAAAGTATACCATCTGAGTATAGCTAACAGTTTTATTATTAAACATAAGCAATAGAGGTTTCTTCCCTGTTTATTAGATCTCCCATGCTCTGTTATTTTTTCTTTCCCTTCCTTTTTATTTTTTTCCATTAGTACACAATTTATCACRTAGTAAGAGCAAATATTTTAGTAATAGTTGTGCCTGTAGTGTGTGCTTCAGACTTCATTTTGCATATTCAATTAGAAATGCATTTTCCCTGTTTGTGGGGGTGGGGGTGGTTGGAAACTTGTTTACATTTCTTACCTTTAAGGAAAAGAAAAAAAGCCAACTCCCACAGAGAAATTCCTTGGATATAAGCATCACACTGTAAAATTTAATGAAAAAAAAAGGCACTGGTAGTGCTGCTAGGAAAGGCACAGTGATCAGCAGGACTCTGATGATGTAATTTTCAGCCTCTGAAATCTGTTGCTCTTGCTAAACCATTGGTGTTGACTCACTGCAATTCACAAAATTAACAGAGCCCCACAAGTGAATCGTGCCCTTTTGATGAAACACAACTGCCCTTGTGTTACCCTGTGTGTAATAGTCTAGAATTCTGCATTTCCTGTTGCAAATTCAAGGGAAAAAGACTCACAGCTTAAAAAAAAAAAAACATGGTAAAGTGGCTTTGCATGAAGAGAAGAGGAACTGAATTTTATGAGCTGCTTCTTACCCGGGAAAAAACTCAGCATTGTCTGGTTAATGGATTTTTCATCTCTTGTTCCTATTTGCATACCACAAGAAATGAAATAAGGTACAGTCTTGCCAAGTGATTTGTCAAAGTTCATGAGGGAGAATAACAAATGAAGAACTGCTACTCGGTCTTCTGACTCCCAGCTTAGTGATTTCTTCCTGAGATTTCAATTCTTCAAGAGTGTTTCAGGCCCTTCTCTAATTAGGATGTGATTAAAAATGTATTTTTTGTAGTCTCTAAAGGGGAGAAATAGGAGATGGATTCATATTCTAAAATTCCATTCCAAACATCATAAATGCAGTAGTGTTGGTATCCAGGCTGCCTGGAAAAATTATATTATGGCAGTTGCATGTACACACAGTGTTATTTCTAATTCATTTGAGTTCTCTTCCTTTGGATAAATGGCAATTACACTGGCTCTCTGGCTGTCAGTAGTACATGAAACTGCTGTCATTGTGTCTGCTTAGCAGTTATTTTAGWCTCTGTTCACTCCAGAGGTTACACATTTGATTTCCTCTGAAAAATCCACCCACYGTGGCTTATTCATTATAATGTCCCTGCTGCCACCTCCTCTGCTGAAYGACAGAGCAAAGGCTGAGCAGAGGGACTTGGGTTTGTTGCTCCCACARCCCTGGCTGTAAAAACTCTGGGCAGGAGAGGGCAGGGGGGAGACAGAGAGTGCCCAGGTGTCTGCTGAGGCTGAAAGGGACACATGGGACTCCTGCTACCAAGAGAAACAGTCCTGGTTCTCCCCAAAAGCCTCCTGTGGCAGTCCCTAACCCTGGTGCGTGATGGCTGTTCTTTCATTCTCATCATCCTTTSCCATTGCTTCTGCTTCTCAGATGTGTTTCTATTTAAAGAATTCATTACCACTGTTGTCTGGTGTTGTTCTGTCACCCTGCAGTGGGTTTAGGGCTGGTGTGGCAGATCCCAGGGTGCAGGAAGGAGAGCAGAACTTCTCTGTCTGAGGTCTCAAAACTCTGCTGCTTCTCTAACAGGGAGGTGGGAGAGCAGAGCCCAGTTTGTGAGACATCATTGTTTTGTTGTAAGCTTAGCAGGATTGAGTTCTTATTTTTTCAGGTAAATTATTGGTTGTAATAAGCTTTGGTCAAATTAAATGAAGCTGTTTGCCTAAATAAAACCAGGCAGCCTCACACAGGCAGAGTCTGGATTGTGTCTGGACTGTCTTTGATGGTGACCAGGTGGTGCAAAATGGCTCAAGTCCAGCTGCTGAGCCCTGCTCAGGTGAAACGCTGCAAAATCAGGAGSTCAGAGAGATATTGAGGAGTGGTGAAAGGCATCCTTCCTTTCTCTGCTGCATTTCTCTGCTGTGTCTGCAGGGCAGGTAAACCACATCCCTTACCCAGCTTCAAGGACACACCTTTTTGGCAGTGAAGACAGCTGGCTCAGTGCCTCCAGCAGAAGGATGGAACAGGATATGCTTAGTCATTTCTTCTACATTGTGATACTGATTCTTCTTGCTTGGAAAATGAAAAATGGTTTTTGTTTTTTTTTTCAGTGGGAATTGAACCAGACGCTTTAAATGCATCTTAGAATAAAAATCTATGGAAGCAATGGGTTGCATGAAAACCAGCTTGGAGCAGAGAAAGTACAGAATGAGAAAGGGAGAATTTATATATGATGTTGTTTCTCCAACTTGTTTTAGAACTGGTCAGGAAACTTGTTTGGGTTTTTTGGGTTTTTTTTTGTTTTTTTTTTTTTGTTTGTTTTTTTTGGGTTTTTTTTTTTTTTTTTTTTTTTTTTTTGGGAACTGGGAAAAAAAAAATCCAGTGTTTTTACCCAGACAGGAGAACAGCAACAGTAGTGAATAGTGTCATCAGTGACTGCCAAAAAAAACCCCAATTATTTGTCACTCAAGCATAAGTTTCCCACTGAATTTCAGATTGGTGGCAATTAGCAAACAGAAAAATCTCACTGTCCGTTAACAAACAGCAAAGAAAATGAACACTGCATGTCAGACCCCTTTCTTACATCATACTCCTTATCAGTATTCTCTAATTTCCTCCTCGATTTAAGCAYGCAGCAGGTTTTTATATGTTAGTTAATGTGTACTTCAATATTTTACAGATCTACTTCCTCTAAGCTGTTACTTAAAAATCAAACTGTCTGGCCTTTTTTAGGTCCTCAGTCAACTGAGCCTGGAGTACAACTGGTCATATCCTATGAGAACCCCCGTCTGACAATAATGCTGAAACATATGAGGAACATWGTGAGTATTTCTATCAGAACGCATWACTTATAGGTCCTTGTGTTTGCAGAGTACTGTGAAAACATTAATCTTCAAACTGCCTCTCTGGGATAAYTAATTTCAGCTCCAGTTAATGACAGTGCTGTTCTGTCATGATTTAACAAGTTTTTTTCCTTTGAGGTCACTCAGTATGGTTACAGGTGTGAGACAGATACGGAACTGGGTTTCCTTTATGGCTGGTAATGGCCTTTTCAAAGAAAACCARTCTTGATGCTGTTTTGGTCCTCTCAGCTGACACCTTTTGATACCAGTCAGACATTAGGCAGCATGCAGCAGCGTGACTTTTTGCAGCATGWCAGCCTGGCACTAGGGATTGATTATCCAGACATTTCTTTCTAGTCCAGCATTACTGTCTATGAACAGGGAAGAGCTCGGCAGAGGGAGCAGTGGTGTATTTTAAGGAGCAATGTCATTTGGAGGCGTAATGCTCAGCTTTGTACCATACTGTCAGGAGGCTGAGAGGTAAATGTTGAGCATTCCTGGAGCCAGCATATGGGAGGGGAAGCTGGCAGTGCTCCTGCAGCACAAGGCAGGTGGAATTGGATGCTGAGGGTGACTTCAGGGATGGAGTTGGGGCTGTGTGTGATCTTTTACTGGAAGARTGTGTTGGCTGCTCTGTAATGAATTCCATGCCTAGATGTGCTCTTGAATTCCCATGGCTCACACCTCAAGAAATGGCTTCAGCAAGAGAGCCCTTACTTGTTTAAATAGGGGATTAGAGCATTTATTAACTATTGTGGGTTCTCAGTGCATAATCTATGCCACCTCCATCCCAAACTGGATTGCAGTCCCTTTTCCTAAATGGGGCCAAACTGAGGGGCTCATTGAGCACCAGCCAGTAGTAAATTAGGGCTGATTGATTAATGAGTGGTATGAAATACATGAGGTTTACATAGCTCTGACTGTTCTCTGTTGGCCTCTCCGGCTTCTCATTTGCAATTCAAGCATCTCCATTCTGGTCTATAACATTCAATACWTCTCTGTGCTGACACTTGTTACTTGTGTGCCACTTTGACAGGTGAGATCAGCCTCTGCTGACAGGTCCAATTTATACAAACTTTATCTTCACACAAGACCTTCCTAATTTTTTCTGTTAAACTTTTTTAAATCTAAGTGACTTGATTATCTTCTGATAAAAGTTCTAATTGGTGGGAGGGGCCTATTTAAGGGGTTGCCATGCTGATATCATTGAGAGCTCAAGCYGGTGATCTGGAGATGCACACAAACAATTACAGGGGTTGGAATTAGTCTTTCTCCTTGTTTCCATCATTTTTAAGTGTGTAGACTCCTGACTGTGCTCTTAGGATGTTCCAGCCAYTTAATTAAATGAAAGTAAATTACAGCATAGATAGCTGTGTAGTGCAAACATAAAATCCAGRGTTCATTATGGAAAGGGACAGTACAACTTGAAGTTACTGTGCTGCTTTTCAAAATAGGTAAACTAAATACATTTTAGTGAGTTTGCAGAGAAGTGGTAGAAGTCCCATTTAGTAAGAGTAACAATGATTCATGACTTGAAAATAAGCTCATTGTTTTGGTGGCCTAACTTAGGCAATCAGGTTTTTAAATCCTGGGTTTCCAATTCCTTCCCTCCACCTGGCAATCCATCCGTCGTCATCTGATCTGAAATATGAAGCAGTATTGCTCCAGGGGACTGTGATACTGGGCTGCCTTCAGACCAGTAACCTACAATAGGAAGGTTTTTTATCCCATTAGTAATCTGCTCAGCTTCCCAGTCATATAAATCAATCTTTCTGATGTGCTCTCTTTTCTTTTTCTTTTCCTTTCCTCTTCTTTTTTTGGTTGAGCTGAACAGGGATTTTAAAAGTATGCCAAGATCATATCTTATTCAAGACATGTTAAAGCTATTTCAGGTATATTCAGTCTTTTGCAGAGACTCACTAATTATATTTTAGTGGTTCATCTGTGCAGAGATTACTTTGCTATCTTGTTTTATTTCATAATTTATAGTAAATAATTCTTGTTCTGTTCTTCCCTATTTAATTTATCTCTATAAAGAGATTTTATGATGTGTTCAGATGTGAAAATAATTGTAGTAGGTCAAATTAATCCCAAATGTAGCTTCGCTGAACTGACAGGAATTGTGATAGAGACTTTTGATCAAAGTAAATACATTTGATTTAGTATTTATAAGAGTTTACTTTTAAGGGTTTTAATAGGAGATCTAGATCCTATATTGATACACAATGCGCAAGAGACTCCCTAAGGAGCTGGTGTTGTTCATAGCCACTGTCAGGTGTCACAYTGGCTCTTTAAAGGAGAAAACCAAGACTGCAGTGCTGTAACTTTGCAGGAATTTTTCCTGAAGGAAATTACCCCATTTACATGGAATATCATAGAGAAAAGAGTGGTGTAGCAGTGGAGGGAGCACTGGAGTGGTGCAGATCTGCCTGATGTGGGTKCACTCATGGACTCCACAGTGCAGGAATGCAGCCCTTTGGATCTGATGCACCCACACGAGCCACATCTGCTGCAGATGTACAACTCAATCATCCCTAGACCAGCTTCAGAGTGTGCTCTCCCTCACCACTGCAACATTTCAGTGTTTAAAAAGCCAGTCCTGCTTGAAGAAACTCTATCAAAAATTCTGCAAAGACAAACAAYGGAGAATAGCCTTATGGATTTTGTGACTGGAAAGGGCCATTAATCTAATCTAACCTTTTGTAAAGAAAAGACTGTATTTTTTCACTGAGGAAATACTTGCAGCCAAGGAAACWGTTTGAACACAGAGATGTTAAGACTGGTTGTTAATGTTTGCCTACAGTTTAAGGCTGTGGGTGCACAATGAAGACAAGTTCTGTTAAACAGATATTTATAAGATCCTAAAAATGTTTCAGTCTCAAGATTTCCCTCAGCAATTCATAGTTTCATTTGAATCCTGAGATTTTGTAAGTCAGGTGGCTCACTGCTTCTACTTATGATTTGAGYGGCATCATCATGACTGCTGAGGAAAATTACTTTAAATCCAATTTTCAAATATACAAAAGCCAATAAAATGCAATTTTCTGAACATGTATATTACATAACTTGAAGTCAGCTTCTTGGGGCATTGCTCTCTCCTCTCAAATGCAGACAGTGCCACATTGGGTACTTTATACATGGGGTCTACAGGCAATATTGCCTTAATAAAGTGAAGCTGGGGTAGAAGGAAACATTTGTGTAGGGTTGAAAAGCAGAGARACCTGGAGAGTTGGCCTCGTGGCAGATGGAGGGGTGGGGAAGGGCAGGCTTAGTCTATGGAAACAATAGCACAGTACCTGGAAAAGTACACWAAGTGGTCTTAGGATAAATACAAAGGAGCCCCAGGGGAGGTTTGTTTTGGCATCTGAAGGGATTTGGTACCTAAGAAAAAGAGTAGTCCAGTTGTGGCAGCACAATACCCAGAAAAGTAGCAGTAGGCAGGAACAGAAGCACAGGGGGAATGCTGCTCTACCCTAAAAATGTAAGCTTGAAGATCAGTGCAGATGTGGAAATGGATTTATTGAAAGACATGTAGGTTTTGAATTTGTAATGTTCGATTCCAGTTCTGTTCACCCATATTAACCAACACAGAGAATTAGGATATCAAGAGCCCACACAGGGTCAGCTATGGGCTGGTTTAGTTCCACACAGCCACAACCAACCAGGAACCTGCTGGTGCACTGCTGGGCTTGCTCACTCCTCAAAAAAAACACCAGAGGCACGAGGAACAGCCATTGCTGWCATCCAGAAAAGGGTTCCTAACATATTTCCTTGCCTGCTTCACGCAGAAGCAAAGGGAAAGTGGTTGAGCATTGGCTCAGGAGRAAGCCTGCTTTTTTCCACTGACTTCTCTGCCATTGCCTCAGGCATGCCCTGTTTTCCTAGATAAGCAGCTAAACTTCCAATCCTCACTACTAAACATTCTTGCCCATTACTTCTTGTGGACAGAGTAACTCCTCAGGGGTAGAGGGGTGGAGAAACAAAGCCAAGTTATCCTGAATCTCATGCCAATAAATGTAAAATATTACTAGAATTCAGGAAAGAGTGCGTGGGCGATGAATTTTGAACCAACTTTACAGGGGGAAAATTTGCTGGAARAAAAATAAACTCCTACAGTTCTTTGCAAAAGTACTTCCAGCTTTCCTTTTATAAAAGCTCTGAAGCTGTCATGTAGCACTCCTGGTGATTAATGATTCTGGGATAGCTGATATGTGGGTGACGAATTAGTAATCAGCTTTAGGCTTACACATACATTCAGCCTCTTTCCATTTCATGTCCTACGCCATCCGAGTACAAATTGCTGCCAAAAATGTTTGTGAGATGCGATGGTTTAAACGTGTTGGGAAGAAGGGTGGGAGCCAACCTTTCCCAAATCCAAAGGGATGAGATCTAAGCCTGCAGCACAGGGCTATAGGGATGTTCCCACTAAGTACAGGTAGATGTTCTGCTGCCTTTGTTGGGTTTTGTCTCAGTTTGAGCTGGGAAAGGGATGGGGATCTTTGTTCAGTCTTAGTTGGTTCCCATCACTCCTCTCATGGGCTCACTAACTTTCATGCTTTATGGCTACCATTGTATAGATTTAAATGGAGACTCTACACTACCTGCCAACAATGCAGGGCCTGCCAGTTAAATTAAAAGCCACATTATCCTTTCAGAACATTATGAATGTGTACTGCTTTCCTTGCTGCAGCCCATGGATCAGCCAACAGGGAYTGGAATGGAGGTGCACAGGTAGGCAAGGCAGGGATGGAAACAAGTGGGAAAAAAATCTCTTTGTGCTGAACAAAATTATCCAGAGAGTATCAGTGACAGAATTAAATGAGAAGTTTGGCTGATGGAGGGAGGTAACACATTCAGATGAAGTTCTTAGACTGGCACAGGAAAACAAAATAAAAAGCCATCGGAAGAAAGCTCTTATACTAACTCTAACTTATAAAAATTTGGATTTAATTTTATATTCATAGAAAACTCTTTTAAAG